TAAAAAACCCCGCAACTTCGCTGTGGATGGAAGTCTATTTTTAGAATTCCTGGTTTTCTCTTGGCGGCACCCATTTATTAATGAATTATGCTGTGATTATTATTTTGTCAACCAGGACATTAAAATCTGGCATCGGCTATAATTTTAGCTGGCTGGCTAAGCCGCTCAGCTCGGCTATGGCTATAGCCGGCTGTAGTCGTAGCTGTTCCCATCCCTATACACAAGCGCCTATTCAATATCATATAAATACGGAAAAAGGTTTTCAAGCCATCTCTTTACAAATTTCAAATTTCATTCATATAAATTTCCTTTACCTCAGACTTACAAATTTCAGCAACAAATCCTGAAAGAAATTGATGTTGTTTTATATCAATCAATTTCCAAAGATTTTCAGCCTTTTGAAATTGGCGAAATCAAAGAAAACATTTCCCTTCACGATATTCAAGATACATTAGACCATTTTTGGTCTTTTTACTTAAATAGTCCTGATCAACCATGGAACCGTGATGAAACTGAGGATATTATGAATTACTACGATGATGAAACTATTATAGAAATAAATATGCAGATAATAGTGCAATACATTCGTGATCATCCTAATTCTGATTTGTTATAACTTGGAATTGGACTTGATAAATGTTCATTGAATGATAATACAATTTCAGCTTTAGTTCGAGAATGGTTACCCATTGATGATCCAAATAATGCCAAAAGATCAAACATTGCACAATTCCTTGATGCTTCATATAAATTATTTTCTAGAATATTTGGTTCAATAAAGTTATTAGAAAATATTTGGCGATGGCTACTCCAAAAAATAAGCAAACCAATCGTATATTTAAATAATATAATATCTGTATTACTGTATTAGGTATATTATTATCAAAAGCATGAGATTTTTCTAAAGAAGCTGCAATATTTATCTTAGATGTCGGGTCGTCTATAATTGATTATATTTTTCAACAAGAATATCGGACCCGAATCAAAGCCGTTTGGGTAGCCACCAATTTAAAAAAACCTTTTATTCATCTCGTTATAATCAATTAGTCGAATTAATTGCTTACAGCACTGCAGAACCTAGATTAGATCCGTCTTCAGAATTAAAATGTTCATTGAAGATTTAAATAATTACAATAAACTAGGTAAGCAAATAGAGTCCACTAAAAACATGAGACAAATTTTATTGGATAAACCAGTTGTCTCTCATTAGGCAGCTCTTCTAATGGGTTTAAATAAAGATGAATATACTTCAATCGAGTTTCTTCAACAACGTTATGATGACATGGAAAATATGGGTATTGAAATTGGAGGCGATGGTGTCATTTTAGGTCAAAAAGAACCTATCAGATTGGAAAATGCGGATTCAAGATATTCCACATCTGCCATAGATCTTTCACCCGAACATAAAATATTAGCTTAGGATGTAGCCCGATCTATGGTCAAAAATCTACCATCAGTTCTTGCGAATTTGAAACTTTAATACCCTGAAATGGTTGCCAAAAACACCTTTAATAATGAAAAACTTAAATATTCTCCCGGTATACCCTTCACTATGACATATAAAACTAGGAAACAAATGTTGCAGGATGGTTGGGATAAAATTTTCATTAGACGAACTTATGATTTACTAGGTGAAGATAAATATCCCACTTCCTGGAATCAATCCTTTGCTAAGTCCCAAATTGTTCCGGTCATGAAACTTATAAATGGTAAAGACATCCGTACTGTGGTTGCTCAAGATTTAGCTTCAAGTTTTTTAGACCATGTTATAACATTTGAAAGGTTAAAAAGACAGACTATGTTTGAAACAGGATGTGGAACAGGTTTAGTTTTAAATCAAAATATGGTAAAATTATATGAAGCTTTGGATGAAAAACGACAGCTGGGGTGGAAATTAGGGGAAGGGAATGGTAAAGCATATGATTCAAAATTAGAAAAATATGCTGCAGAAGCTATGACTGCACTGTCATATCTAATTTTACTATATTTGCTCTATTATAATTATTATAACCGATTACTGTAATCAAATTTAACCGGCTTATTATACCAATTAATTGAATTCAACTGGATTATTATAACCGGTTAATCAAATTTAACCAACCTATTAATCGAATTTAACCGGATATAATATAATCAATTTATATTCGGTTGTGATTTTTGTAACATTAATAAAACCGGCCAATGAAAATAAAATCGGTTCCAATCACAATATATTTTTGCTTGTTTTATGTAAAATTTCATTCCTGACATTTTAATTAGTGCACCAATGAGTATTTTCGCTTTTTTCTTCTTTCATGTAAACATCCCCGTGGGGGTATAAGCATTCTAGTGATAGTGTAATCGCACCCGTAGTCATGTAAACACAGCCTTACTCCCAAAATCTAAAATGTATTTAAAAACCAACTGTACCAAGCAATAAAGCATAACTTTTTGATAACTTTTTTATAACTTCTCATAACTTTCGATAAATCTTTTCTATAACTTCTTCCATCTCATCATTGAATAAATACATCGTTCTCCTTTCGCTTGAACAAAATTTATACTTATCTGAATATTCCCTTGTGTATTGTCTCTGAATTCGACTTGGAACTTTAATAAACCCCTTCGAGACTCAATTAGACGGACTGAATTGACTTGTAACTTCGATTTGGCTTATTAAGACTCGGATTCTGGAACGATTGTGGAATCAGATATT